ATATATGCTGCTATATATATATATATATATATATATATATATATATATATATATATATATATATATATATATATATATATATATATATATATATATATATATATATATATATATATCATATATATATATATGTAAATTGTAAAATTTTAAATAAGAGAGAAAAACAAAATAAGTAGCGCTTAAAGTGTACTGTACATTGTGGCTTGGCGCGGGGTTATGCAGTGTTTACAGTTCACGTTCGACATCACATGTTCAATTGATTTATGTGTTTTGTTTGCGAAGAATTGCAGAAATAATTTATGTAATATTTATGTATACAGTATACCTGTACAGTATATGTAAAATGTAAAGTTTTAAATAAGAGAAAAACAAAATACATAGCGTTTTAGACCCGCGCGCTCTGTTTACTCCACACTTTGTTTGAAACACTTGTGAAGTTTTTAAGTGTCCTCAGTGAATTCTGATTACTGTTTCTCCAATTTTGTGACCATGGAAAAGAAGAATATCTCTGGGAAGCACTCTGGTGATCGCATTTCCGGTGGTGATCGTAAAAGAAAGGCTATAACACTTGAAGAAAAGCTTGATGTTTCATGACTCCTCAGCCTCAACATCACCCTTATCCCCCATCAAGTTATATTCATATTTTTTCAAGGTAAAGTGTAACATTTACTGTATGATTTCATTATTAGATATGAATGTAACATTTATTTAGACTGCTATCCTTTGTGTTAGGCTAACTACGAAAATTTTTTTCGATTTGGAGTAATCTGCACCTAACCCTATTTTCTCCATAAGCCCTGTTATTTCTATTACACGAATTTCTATAACACGATGTTTTACAAGAACACTACTATCGCGTTATAGCAGAACTACCTGTATGTTATGTTGTTCACTTTACGCGTTTCTCACTTTACGCGGGCCGCCGTGGGTTCAATTAACCGCGTAAAGTGAGGGTTCACTGAATATATATATTATATATATATATACAGTGACCCCTCGTTTAACGAACACCTCGGTTAACGTAATTTCGATTAACGAACTGCCTTCCACAAAGATCTTCAATTCGGTTAACGAAAAAAAATTCGGTTAACGAAGTTCTTACGAACCGACCTCAACATGTTTTCGCTTGCACTGACCGGGCAACCAGCTTTAGTATCAGTCCGCCAATACATTAATCAGTTCTAGGGCTTAAATTCCTTACTATTTTAGTAAATATCAAGAAGTTTATACTATTCAATAATTTTAAAAGTTTAATATTCAATTTTTTAGTCATTTTAACAATTATTGAACATAACTAAAGGTAAAGTGACTAGTTTAATGCGCGGCATCCAGCCTCTTAACACAGCAAACAGGAGTTAATCTCTCTCTGTTTTCACTGGAGGTAACATCTTGCTTGAGACTCTCTTCAACTAAACGCTTTTTTTCTGTGTTTCCAAGCAAATTATTGGTCATTTTGAAATATATTTTACATATTGACAATATATAATGCAGTGCAGAGTTGATTTAAAGAAAATAATCTGGAATTACACCAAGAGAGCTAAAATTTTATGGGTGAAATGGCGCCATGGGGTGACTTCTCTTCCACCCCAATGCCTTCTCTTCTCCCTTCTCCTCCACCCCCATTCTAATTCCCATCATCATCACCATCATCCAGGAGCCTTCTACATACACACCTCAAAGTAAGTGAACTTTTCTACCATTTTTGTTGAATTTAGGAAATTTTCGGTGAGCTGGAACCAATTACCCAAAAACCCATTGAAACAATGGTTTCGGTTAACGAACTTTTCGGTTAACGAACGACCTTCTGGAACGGATTGAGGTACATATATATACTTCATTTTTAGTCCATATAACACGCGGACTTTGAACATATAATCAACGACCTCACCAGCAAGGAATCGAACCCTCGACCTCGCGTTTCATACCAGCTGGATTCGGTAAAATGCTACTGACACCACATACGAGGCACAGGCAGTTTCCCAATGAGGTTCACGGCGCCATCAGCTCGATGAACAGGCTTTGTGTGAAATATAACAGAGTCTAGAACTGCTTTTAGTGTCCTTGTGGGCTAGCCGGTAAGCGTTCCCTAGTCCCACCCAGTAGGTCGAGGGTTCGATTCCTTGCTGGTGAGGTCGTTGAATATATGCTCAAAGTCCACGTGTTATATGGACTAAAAATGAAGTATATATATATATATATATATATATATATATATATATATATATATATATATATATATATATATATATATATATATATATATATATATATATATATATATATATATATATATATATATATATATATATATATACTCTCTGCTATATATATATATATATATATATATATATATATATATATATATATATATATATATATATATATATATATATATATATATATAATATTAAGAAATTTCAGTGTAATTTCAAACGCCCGCGCCATTAAGCGATACTGAGTTTTCAAAGATTAGATCTCTGAGGGAGCGCTCCCTTTTTATAGCGAGAGGTTCTGGAACTAGGCCTATATGATATTGAATGTAATTTGCCGAATTAATAATGATGCGATTCATGAAGTTAAAAGGGACTATTGAATTTGGAATTATTATGGATCATTTATCGGTCTGAATAATGTCACGGGTGTCCCAAGGGTTATTAGTTAGGCGGAAAGAGAAATATGTCACGTAGGCCGCTGGCGCTTGGAGGCAGCGGCTGGCTGGTCGCTTAGTCACGATGGAAGCATTCGGTCCCAGCAAGGCGTCCCTTGCAGTATAACAAAGTAAGTCTCATTCGATCTTAGACAGGGGTTTAGATAGGGCAGTGATAAAGTTAACAGAGCTAACAGTGAGTTCATTTCAGAGGTTTCCGTCCAAGAACCCACTTGACTGCGAGAAATTATTTGCCAGAGACTGGCTGCCGGGTGAGACTGCCGTTGATATTGAGGCTTGGCAAAGTGTCGCCATTGGAGCGATCAGTATAGGCTTGTCCTACTAGCGGGGGTAGCAAGGATCACTGTGACGAGTGCTCCCAGCAACTAAAACTTGACAAGGACCCGGCATCGGCATTGGGTGATCAGTTCTTACCACGTGGGTGCCCACCATCACGTGCCCTCGATCCAGCTAGAAGTATTATTACTTACTGGCCATGGTCACCTGCAAGTTCTCTCTTCCCGCCCATGGGCCTTTAGAGTATACAAGGGCTATCTGAGTAAATTAATTGTCACACTGAGACCAGGAATCTCGAGGATACCTAGAGAAACATTTTATCTCCCTTATTACGGGTGTATGTTGAGTTGGGTGGAGCATGGTTCACGGATAGTGGTGGACCCAGTAACATCCTCGATGTACTGACAATATTTTTTGTGTGTAGTTAGTACCATTTTCAGTTCCTGATATTATCTTGGAAGCGTGTGTAGTAATAGTTCCTAAATGATTTTAGTAGTATTGTTGTTTATTTAGTAATTTTGTGTCACTAAATTGGGAACCAGAGTGATACTCGTTAATTCTTTAATGCATCAAATTTTCTTTATAATTCCGATCTCAGAGTATAACCTGTGTTCCCAGAGTAGTGTTTAAGTTAGGTTAGAATTGTGCATCTGTTGGGGGGTGATATTATTTTGTTAAGCCCATAAGGCCTGTTTCATGTGTGCAAGCAACATTTTCTTAATACTTTAAATTTATTGTTGCCTGAGTTTCTAATAATTTCTATATCATGTATAACTTTTATTCCCCAGAGTAGTGTTTTAAGTTCAAGTTAAGAGGTGCATATTGGTGTACCATTATTTGATTGTGTTTGTAGTGTTGGAGGGAATATAAGTGTCTAGAATTTTTACAGTGTCTCATTCATCCCAGTCACAAGGCAGCTATCCTTCCATAGTCACGGACAATTCATTTTGTTTAGTAGATTTAAGTGTTCTTGTGCTGGTTCGGGATTTTCTCAAATGGCCGCTTCCACTGCAATTACCATCTAACAATCTTTAATAAACCCCCAAGTCAAGTGAGAAATTAAGTCAGTAATTCCGACCCGATTTATATATATATATATATATATATATATATATATATATATATATATATATATATATATACAGACAGACCCGACTTACGACTGCTCGACTTACGACCGTCGGGACTTACGACCGCCGCCAGATTTTTATTAAAAAAAAATTTTTTAAATGACCGCATTTTCTATACGAAACGTTTCCAGTTGAGTGTAGTCTCCATGTATAATTAGAAATTATGGGGGCCCATGTGCATTCAGCTGACTGCATTAAAGGTTAAGTGCTCAGTCACACTGTAACCATTCCTTGTATTTATTACTTTCACTGTACTGTATCCATTCCTCATTATTCATTACTTTTGCTGTACTGTATTTCATTGTAGATTATTTATCAAAAAAAAAAAAAAAAAAAAAAAAAAAAAAAAAAAAAAAAAAAAAAAAATTATCTATGTCCGGACTTACGACCTGGATTTAGATTACTAACCCCGTCGTAAGTCGGGGGGATATATCTGTATATATATATATATACAGACCTGACCACCAACGTTGTGTGCTATTTAAAGATTAGTAAGGTCATTACCTAATTCCTGACCATTGTGGACCTGGTCTCACCTCTGTATATATACACCTTGATTTGTATTACTCTCTCTAGTCTGTACTCACCCTGAAGATGTGAATACAATTTAAAGCTTGGGAACTTTGTTTTCTTCTTTCCTTGTGGTTATCAGCATATATATATATATATATATATATATATATATATATATATATATATATATATATATATATATATATATATATATATATATATATATATATATATATATATATATATATATATATATATATATATATATATATATATATATATATATATATATATATATGGGTGTATATCATCTATACATAGCTAACCAGAGCATGAAAGTAGATGGTGTAAACTAGACAACAGTCAGAATTTATTTTATCTTTTCACAACCTATAACTTATTGAAGTACATACCTGAGCAAAATGTATTGGCACCCATTCTTCACACTTTGCTTTTCTTTCACTTGCTGCACTTCTCTGTGCTTCCTCCAAAATGGTTTTCTCCTCAGTAGCTGCAACCTGGGAAAAAATGCACAATAAAGTTATCAACCAAACAGGAAACTTTCTATCCATCTACAGTAGAAGTCCAAAAATCCGGACTGTTTGGGGATTGGGTTGGTCCGGATTTTCGGATTTTCCGGATTCTCAGGCAGTACTTTTAAAATTCAAATTTAAGGAGGAATAAAGAAGAGATGAACAGGTACATTTTGATAGTTTATTCATTAGCAAATATAGCATGCTTCATTTATCAAAACGAGCAGTTTTAATGAAAAAGCTGTGAATTCTAGAATTTTATTCTTTGCCATTTTTATATCATAAATTGTATACTTTCCAATGTCGTATGTTTCCATTAGAACAGTATTGCTCACACCACGTTCTAGTTTCTTAATTATTTCAAGTTTGTCACTCAATTTCAACGTGTTCTTCTTTCTCTTCACACAACTAAGTTTATCTACTTTAGGAACCATTATTATGGGCTTGTACAGTACTCTGTAAATGGAAAGAGTAGGACTCAAAATATTGTTATATTATAATGGTATTCTATTCATACTGTGCTTGATATAATGCATTCACGGAAATGTAATATTTTTGCTGAAATGACATACGTATTACAGTGGAAAGTGGGAAAAAATCGTGACGAAAACAATGACTTTCCCTTTCTTTCGTTCAAAAGATGTTACCGTAATCGCTTTTCGTATGGTTTTCAGTTAAAAACTGTTGTATTACAATAATATTCTATCCTAATTGACTTGAATAAATACTACGATACTATATTTCTGAATATTTTCATTAAAATCCATCAAAATCATTTTCCTTTTCATCGTCTGCAGCACCAAACAGCTTCTCCCAGTCCTCTCCTTGAACAGGGCTAGAGGGTACGTGTTTTTCGAATCGTTTTCAGTTAAAAAATTATTACATCACACGTAAATTTTACCTAAACTGCGCCTGAATGAATATATTCTCGGAAATAAATAGTAGTTTTGCTGAAACGTGATGTATTTCAATGTAAAATAGGATAAAATACATGACGAAAACAAAAGACTTTACCTAAGCTTCCAATGTTCTTGAGATGTTACTCGTTTTTTTAATAGTTTTCGGTTAAAATCCTGTTATATTACAATGATATTCTATTCATACTGTGCTTGATATAATACATTCACGGAAATGTAATATTTTTGCTGAAATTACGTACGTATTACAGTGGAAAGTGGGATCAAATCGTGACGAAAACAATGACTTTCGCTTTCTTTCGTTCAAAAGATGTTACCGTAATCGCTTTTCGAATGGTTTAGTTAGGAAACTGTATTACAATAATATTCCCTCCTAATTGACTTGAATAAATATTTGAATGGAAATATACAATATTTTTGTTGAAACTACCCGCGTTTCAGTGTAAAGTGTCGTAATAATAAATGGTAAACAATTTGCCTTCGGCACTCGTGTTTCAGGCACGGCGAGCCTCGGTTTATAGGACGTAGTGTTTTTACTGAAGGTTTTGTTGTTCCATTACCCTCAAAAACGTGGGTCGAACTATAAACGAGGAATATCATGAATTAACGATTTCTTGGTCAAAAAATCAGGGTCGACCTATAAACGAGGGGGGGTTATAGACGAGTATATACGGTATGTTGTCACAGTTTGATTGCTCGTTTTAAAGTGGCGACCACGAGGTCGCTTGTTGTCGCTGTGCAGCTGTGGCGCTCACGCATGCGCACATACACACAAAAGCCCGCTAAAAAAAAATAGTTTTCGAAAAGTCCGGATTCTCGGGTGGTCCGGATTTCTGGCATCCGGATTTTTGGAATTTTACTGTATCTGTCTACCTGGCTCACTGCCTACATTAACAGCTCAATAGATCCATCTATCTGTCTACCACGCTCACTGCCTACATTAACAGCTCAATAGATCCATCTATCTGTCTACCACGCTCCCTGCCTACATTAACAGCTCAATAGATCCATCTATCTGTCTACCACGCTCCCTGCCTACATTAACAGCTCAATAGATCCATCTATCTGTCTACCACGCTCACTGCCTACATTAACAGCTCAATAGATCCATCTATCTGTCTACCATGCTCCCTGCCTACAATAACAGCTCAATAGATCCATCTATCTGTCTACCTGGCTCACTGCCTACATTAACAGCTCAATAGATCCATCTATCTGTCTACCTGGCTCCCTGCCTACAATAACAGCTCAATAGATCCATCTATCTGTCTACCACGCTCCCTGCCTACACAATAACAGCTCAATAGATCCATCTATCTGTCTACCACGCTCCCTGCCTACATTAACAGCTCAATAGATCCATCTATCTGTCTACCACGCTCCCTGCCTACAATAACAGCTCAATAGATCCATCTATCTGTCTACCTGGCTCCCTGCCTACAATAACAGCTCAATAGATCCATCTATCTGTCTACCATGCTCCCTGCCTACATTAAAAGCTCAATAGATCCATCTATCTGTCTACCTGGCTCCCTGCCTACATTAACAGCTCAATAGATCCATCTATCTGTCTACCACGCTCCCTGCCTACATTAACAGCTCAATAGATCCATCTATCTGTCTACCACGCTCCCTGCCTACAATAATAAAAATCCCATAACTGGAGTATCACTGAATTTACTTTAATAATGATGGACACTGATTTCTTTATCATACAAACTCCTTCTTTTATATCTTGTGTGACTCAGTCCTCACACTTTTTATCCCAGAACCAGTTAGTTAGTAAGTACAGTCCAGCCAACCTCTGCAGGGTTATGTTCCCAGCCATACTGAGGACCTGTGAAGAACTGGTCTACTGTATGTAACTTATAGGGAGGAATAAGTTAAGAGGAAGTGGTTTACATTGTTACTTGACTATGAACTGTACCTGTAGGTCAAACTGTACTGCTGTTATGAACTATTTGATTATGGTTCGTCTCCTTTAACATTATGGGAACTGACGTTTTCTTTTTCATCCTTACAAACACCATGATGCTGGGTGGCTGGGATGAAGACTGAATCTCTCTTCAGCTGCTGTTATTTATTCACTCAGACTTCCATAACAGATGGGTAGTGGTAAAGTGTTTCCCTCTTGTACACTGTTAAACATCAATGGTCTCTATGTGTGCCCCAACACTCTACTGTACCGTACTATACCCAAGATGCTTCTCTCAGTCTTATGACGGAGGTGTTGTTCTCTCACCTGATCATCATTCTTGATGGCCAATGACACAAGCTGCCACAGTCTCTCAGACTCAAACTGTCCCTGCTGATCAACGGCCACAGTATACCGCTCCAGTCTCTGTGCTTTAACTTCAGGGGTTGCGTGCCATAGTATTTCTTCTTCCTAAAATATACCACAATATATTAACACACATTCATCAGTGTTAGATACAGTACACAGATCACAGGTACATTAATATCTTCTCCTTTCAACATTAATCAACTAATGGTAAAAAAATATAACAGGTTAAAACTTCACTGTTGGAGATGTTGCTCAGTGCCTTGTAATGAAACTGATCCAGTTTTAAGTGATCTAATATTAAGACTGAATTATTATCATGTTCTTAAGTGCAAATATCTAAGATATAAGAATTGTAAGAATTACTGTATATGGATTAGCATAAAGATGACCTGTAAAATTTATAAGAGTTAGCATTTAAAATAACTGGAGAATGTGTTTTGATAACAGAACAATTAGATATATTCAAAATACTCTGAATATGTTGTCATTATGATATGTTGACTGATGTAAACAACTGTAGGATGATACTGTATACTGAGAGAGTTTTGAAGTTCTTAAATTACTGTCCAGTATTACAAAAGAAATTGAGGATAGAAGGAAGGAGCCTAAGAACATAAGGATGGAGGACACTGCAGCGGGTCCATACTGGGCAGTCCCGTTTACACCCAACTCCCTATCACTCATATATCCACCCAACCTACAGTGTTTGAAGCTGTCCAGCATATTAGAGTTAATGATGATGTTTGGTAACTTGTTCCAGTCATCCACTACTCCATTTCCAAACCAATGTTTACCTATTTCGCGACCAAATCTGAATTTGTCTAATTTAAAACCACTGTTACGAGTTCGCTCCTGGTTGGACAGTTTGAGTACTTTTGTTATATCACCTTTGTTTAGACCTGACTTCCATTTATACACCTCGATCATATCGCCCCTCACTCTACGTCTCTCGCGGGAGTGCAAATTAAGATGCTTTAACCTGTCTCTGTACTCAAGGTTCCTAATGCCTGGGATTAGTCTTGTCATTCTCCTCTGAATTATTTCTAGGGATTCTATATCCATTCTGTAGTATGGTGACCAGAAATGAACTATGTAATCCAAGTGAGGTCTCACAAGCGCAAGATATAGTTTTAGGATGACCTCGCTAGTCTTGTAACTAACACTCCTTTGTATTTTTTTATTTTTTATTTATTGGGCACTCCCCTACATCCTTGTAGCGCAGAAGCATTTAAAGTGCCCAACAGGGAAGCATGCTAAGTTCATGCTTGCCTTTATGTCTCATGAGTTAAGGGCGTAGAAGCCTGAAGAGTCAAGGGCATAGAAGCCTGAAGTCAATGGTTTATGTCATCAAGTTATTGGAAGCTCCAACAACTTGTCCCTGAATACGAATTCGCAACTTTCGATTTACACCAGGTACCTACTTTACTGCTAGGTGAACAGGGACTAATGGGGGCTAGGAAGAGTGTCCAAACAACTTCCACCGGCCCGGGAATCGAACCCATGACATCTCGCTTGCGAAGGCAAGAGCAGTACCACTCTACCACCAGCACCCCCACTCCTTTGTATGAACCCAAGTACTTTGTTAGCCTTGTTTCGAGCAAATACACATGGTTTACTTGGCTTAAGATTCCTACTTATCATTACAGGTACTCCTCGACTTACGACCTACTCGACTTACGACCACCCGGTCGATTAACCGACCCTCGATTAACCGACTTTCGGATTAACCGTCAATCCCGAACTCCTAAACAAAAAAAAACAAAAACAAAAATTTTATTATTTTTTTTTTATGGGGATTAGCCCACCCGGGCACAGGTCACTGACCCACATTAGGGCCTGGGGGGCGATAATGTAATAGTATTAATAATGATAATGATAATAATAATGGTAATAAAGAACCATGAATAAATGCAAAAATGAAAAAAAAAATCAATAATGAGAAACAATATATGTATGTTGTGTTGTCAATAGTAAGAGAAGCAATTGAGACCCTGCAATTGTGTGTAAATGAGGTAGAAAGTCAGATGAGCAACCTGGGACTTGGTCACAATGTTTGTGATGACATATGTTCTTTGACTTTTCCATTTTGTATTCACGGTTTCTGTGCTGGTTCATATTTATTTACTAAAGTGGTTAATGTTTTAAAGCAAATTCTATTGAAATATGAATGGCAAATGAACAAAAATGAATAGAGGGACTTAAATGAGGTAGGTTAGGGAAAGGTACTTTGAAAATGTATGTTTTATTTCCGTAGACTTTATGTACTATTAACCAACCTTTCGGATAATCGGTCGGCCCCTTCCCCCCATATGTGGTCGGTTAATCGAGGTTTTACTGTATGTATTTTCGAGTCCCGACTTTATTGATTGCGCTGTGTACTGACAAAATTTTCATTTGTAATTCCCTTTAAAATGGCTGGCAAGCGTAAAAGTGAGAGTTCTCGTGGTGCTGAGAAGAAAAAGAGACACCCATTTTAGATTTTCTATGTATTATTTTTGCCTTTTTGATTTACGACCCGGTCGTCGGGATGGAACCCCGTCGTGAGTCAAGGAGTGACTTAATCCTAAGTCTTTCTCACAGTCGGATTTCTCAATAACATCGTTGTTCATCTGGTATCTGGTTTCTCTGTTTACATCCCCTAGACTAAGTACTTTACATTTGTCCACATTAAATTTCATCTGCCATTTTTACAACCATTCAAAATTTTTTTTTAGATCTTCCTGTAGCATTTGCGGAGTCCTCGTCAGATTTAATTACACTCCCTATTTTAGTGTCATCAACACAGTTACTTATGTTGCTGTTTACACCAATATCTATGTCGTTTATGTATACAGTAGTACCCCGCTTAACGCGGTCAATTGAACCCACAGGGTACCGTGTTAAGTGAAAACCGTGTTAAGTAAACAACAGAACATATGGGATTAATTCCAATAGAGACTGGCCGGACCCCCAAACTCTACTTTTTCCGACACAATACCTGTGTTCTAGTAAAAATAACATCTTAATTTTATGATGGTACATGCACACAATTAAATACTTAAGAGAAATAGAGAAATACAGTCGCCAAGTTAATGTTCATTCAAATAATGGACTCAACTCCCTCCCCCTCTTCTCACACTACACTGCTGGCTCTTCCCTCTCTGAGAAATTTTGGGGGGAAAACCACTAAATTTTAATAAATAATACCTCAAACTAAAGTTAGGATAATATAATTGACATTGCTGGATTCCTTGTAAGACCAGGAATATTTTGAATATAAATGTCATATATTTTGCACAAAAGATAACATATTTACTCAGAGTAAACATTATATCTAAAATTTGTATGTCTAATGCAAAATCTATGATGTTTATATTCAAAATGATCATCAAATTATAAGAATTCCAGCAATGTAAATTATATTCTGGCCGGGTAATTTGTATGAATTTTATGAGCTAAAACAAATATCTTCAGTTAATAAAAAAAAAATATTCTTCACAACACTATCTGTCAATCAAAGTACCCCACCTTGCCTCCCCCCCCTCTTCCAACCGCGCCAGGTGGTCGGTCCGTCCCAACCCTCCCCCCACCTCCCACCAATCCTCCCTTCAAGAGATGTTGGGTGAAAAAACAAAATTTTAACATTTAGTATTAAATAATACCTCAGATTAAAGTTAGGATAATATAATTGACATTGCTGGATTCCTTGTAAGACCAGGAATATTTTGAATATATATGTCATATATTTTGCACAAAAGATAACATATTTACTCAGAGTAAACATTATATCTAAAATTTGTATGTCTAATGCAAAATCTATGATGTTTATATTCAAAATGATCATCAAATTATAAGAGTTCCAGCAATGTAAATTATATTCTGACCGGGTAATTTGTATGAATTTTATGAGCTAAAACAAATATCTTCAATTAATAAAAAAAAAATATTCTTCACACCGTAACAGATGGTCGGTCGGTCCCTCCCTACCAGATGTGTGGGAAAACCAGAATATTTATCTTTTTAGTAATAAATAATACCTCAAACTAAAGTTAGTGTAATATAATTGACATTGCTGGATTCCTTGTAAGACCATGAATATTTTGAATATAAATGTCATATATTTTGCACAAAAGATAACATATTTACTCAGAGTAAACATTATATCTAAAATTTGTATGTCTAATGCAAAATCTATGATGTTTATATTCAAAATGATCATCATATTGTAAGAATTCCAGCAATGTAAATTATATTCTGGCCGGGTAATTTGTATGAATTTTATGAGCTAAAACAGGCAGGCAGGCAGGCGGGTGGCGGGTGAGGCGAATCTAAAAATAGCGTCTCGAGCCAGACACTCTGCGCATATACGTGGAAAAAACCCGTGTTAAGTGAAAGTTTGGCTCTGGCGAGGCACCGCGTATACGTGAAATCGCGCTAAGCGAAACCGCGTTAAGCGGGGTATTACTGTATAATAAATAATAATGGTCCAAGTACTGAGCCTTGGGGTACTCCACTAGTGACGTTACTTCCATCTGATTTAGTGCCATTAATGCTTGTGTGAGATCATAAAGATAATGTATTTGTTATGAATATTTCTCTGTAAAAAGATGATGTTAATATCCTAGAAGTGCAGTAAGTACATGAAAGAATAATGACTGTACATTATGTTAATGTCAGAGAGAAGTTATAAATTATTAAGGCTAAAACAAATAGTAAGAGATTGTGGGAACAATTTTATGAGTCGATATTCCACCACGTGACTCCCACATAGATCAGTAGTGTTCATCTGTGAAGTTATTTGAGTATAAACGGCCTTGTGAAAAGTTATTGGGTTATAATAAGTTAAGAAAATTTCTGAAACAATTTGCTTAAAGAAAATTACAGGATACAGTATTGTATTTAAAATAAATTAACTGAAATTGTATTAATTGTGAAACTTTGTAGTTGAAGTTTATGTCAGTAAGTAAATGGCTGTGAAGGGCCTCGTGACAACAACAATGATGTCATTTATCTTCTGTGTTTCACCCAGGAAGGATGTGTTTCATGTCTCCCTCAGTTAAGCATTTGTTTGTTTCTTTAACCCAACACCTCATTCTATGGTAAGGAGAAGTACAATGTTTTGG